TTACCGAGGCACAACCATTCTGCCGGTCCCAAATGATGTACCGAGACCCGAGGCTTTTTTGCTTCATCAATGGTCATCAATTCACGCCTATAGGGAGGAAAAATGAAACAGTTGATTTGGACCAAATATGTACAGTGCGGAAGAAAAAGATTGCCCGTGATAGGACAAATTGGTGACGAGCGAAACAAACGGAAAGGCAATTGACGGAAAACAACACACTACCCTGTGCACCAATTCTGTATGGAAAATAACAAAAGCGATTGGAGAGTCACGTGAATGTGACAGATAGAAAAGACTCGAGTCCTTTTATTCTTTGTTGCACACGTATCTAATTGCAGAATGTGCCGATGGTTTTATGAGTTGCTCTCGGGCGGAATAGGGCTAGGTTGTTCAGGCCAAACCAGGTGGATATTGAAGAGGATTCACAAACGAACCCCATGGTTAGCAATGAGTCCAAGTGAGGAGAAAGGCTCTCAATCGAAGTCACTGGTTAAATAACTCAGTCCGAGCGGTACGTGGAAGAATATGCTCATTTTGTGTAAGCCTTGGATCGACTCGGATGTAGTGCGTAGTTAAACACATTTTGCGTTGGTGTAAATACGATGAGGTTAAAAGTGCGTGCACATACAATAATGGATTGGAATTGATACATACACACTGGTATCAACTTATGCTATGAGGAAGAAAGGATTGGGTCTCCGCTGGTAAAGACAAACTAAGGGTTTCTATAGACTTTGGGACACGAAGAGTGATTTCTTTTGTCGCCGCATTTCACCAGAAAACAACTCGAGTAGAAGTGATACAACCCATCAATTTTGCGTTCTTTCGCTCAGCCTTTGACGCATGGTTTATAGGACTGTGCCACAGAGAAAATCCATACACAATGTAGCCAGACAATCACCGGTAAAACTCCAAGTTTTATTAAGGGAAATGCTAATCTGAATCATTTCCTGTCCCATTAGGGTTTCGGCACAGATAAATCTACTGTCCGAACAAAGAGAGATGAGAAATGCTGCACGCAGTCTCGTGTATCACAATTTACCAAACAGTTTTACTGTTTTCTATATTTATATGCACGTCGAAATGTTAGATATGCCAATGATAGATCAAGTCTCTATGTGAAAGAGCAAACAGTGCTTGTCCTGGCAATATGAGATTGTAGGGAATCTCAAACACTCCACACTCTGATGGCTAATGAATGATACCAGCATTCCAGTCGGCACTTTTAGAGTACTAACTAACATGAATGTCAGCTAAGGTGGATGTTGCACAACAACGTGAGCAGCGAACGACATGGGGAGTTGTGGTACTGAAGTATTTGATTCACCAAAATTGAGCCTCCTTGAATGCAACGATACTGAGTGACGTACAATCTCGCACCTTGCAATTTTTCCACCTAGATATTGGAATGCAGCCCCTTGACCACAATGGTGACTATTCACTGAGGACGTTCCAAAGATTTATGATCGCCTAGTACCCGTGGGTTCCGGGCTCGGATGAGGTAATCAAAGCGTGGACGAATGCGCACTGATACCAATCATGGGAACAGTGTTGGTTCGAACCTGTGAAAGATGCGATTAAGTAGATGAACAAACCCAACGAAATTAATCGAACAGCTAATAGAGTTAGGCTCAAAATCCTTCTCATTCGAGTTATGTGGTAGGTGTTGACATCCAAGGAAACCGATCTTTTTAGGTGTAGTGATGCGACCGCTGAGTTCAATGTCATTCTCGATCGACCATTGACGAGCTGCGCTGAATGTTCTCTGAGGTGATCGTCA